TACGAAGGCATGTCCACAGACTGTTGCGTGGGATCCGGTCATGCGCTTTCTCTAGGTCCACAAAACACATTTACACCGGCTGGGCGTACTCCTACGATTTCTCAGCAATCTGGCGCAGGGAAAATATATGGTCAGAGGTGCTTCGACAGGGCCGGAAACGACACTGCTCCATTATAATCGTAATTTCCATTTTGATCAATAAATTTTCCCTAAAATGTGAACGGTTCTCAGTTACGTTGATAGTTGACATTTACTAGCGTATTTTCGATATTGCTCTTCTCCGCATTTTCCCCTGCAGCATGATGGTCCCTGGCAATAGATGGACCTTATTATATACTACTGCAGTTGGAGTGAGATGCGTGTATCTACGGGCGCCGTTACTGAAAGGACCACCGTTTTTCTGCTTACTATCAGTCAAGTTAAATTTGATTATGACTGCCTTACCCGTATACCCAGTTGTCTACTATTGCTATTATGCCATTACAGTTTTTAGTCTTTCTTTACTTGGTGCGTGATGGGATGATGCTAGGAGGTTGGTTTCAAACTGAAGGTGACGAGTTCGATTCTGCTCCTTGACCAACTTCTGTCATAACCGCGAATTCCCCTGAGGAAGAAATTGCTTTGTTGCTTTTGTGCAACCAGTCAAGCAACGTACAGGGAAACTCCGTTGACTTGCGAATAATAAGGGAAATATGCTCCTGATCATTCCAAAATAGACGAGGTGTTCAGCTCTGCTTTCTGATACGATCCCTCTTGTTACAAAACTTCGCTGTGACCCTTCTGGTGGCCGACTGTCCAGCGCAATAATCAGCAATAGATGTAACAGATTTCGACTCTGTTCTGAAAAATTGACTAAGCACACTTGAGGAAGTAGTTCCATGAATTTCAATTCCTCATGGCTGCGTTCTTTCACGTCCATGCTGAATTTTTTGTCATTTATGCGAAGTGTGCATGCAAATCTCACATAATATGAAGCATCAACCGTCGTGAACTGGCCTACAGATGAATAATAAACGTCAAAATGGTTTTGAGAATAAAGCTGTTTTACTGTAATAGTGGAAATCGAAATGATTGAAATAGTTTCAATGATAGTTTGGTTTCAATCACATTCGACTCGCTTATGGGTTTCAGGTATTTCGTACTTCCAGGATAAATAACGACCATTTTGACAAACACTGATAGTTTCCTGTCTCGCGAAAATTAACTTAGTTACAACATCTTCCATGTCTATCTTTTTTCTGTCTGAGCAAATACCTATGCGTCGACGGACAGTTAATTAGCTATAGACGTATTGCAACCGGCAAGAGGTTGTTAGCAGACAGAACGCGGAACTTGACCACAACGTTTTACTAACTGGAACAACGCACATACTAAAGGTAACGATTGTTGCCGCGAGGTATCAATTCTCCATATCATATCATGTTTATTAGGTAACAGACGGGACAAGAACACATAAAATAATTCTTAATTAGGACCATCTGATGTTTCAGACTAAGCTTAGCCTGTTTTCAGAGTACAATGAAGGAATAACTCAGGCAACTTGCCGTCTGAGAAATGTTTTATGCCGGAACAGAATCTTACGGATTTCGTGTAACTGGCTGTTCTTGTGAAGGAAGATTCACTTTAAAAACTTTGCGTAAAGTAAAGAACTGGATTAGTCAGTACATGGCCTGTCTCAGCAGTGGTCAGAAGATAGGCACCGTAGCTGTAGAGCATGGCATACTAGCGAGTCACTTTGTACAGTGAGATACCAATACACACCTGCCAATGTAAAGTGCGGCTTTAACGAAACGTTTTATACCGCTTCGCTATCCTGGGCATGTAATGTCCAAAATGACACTCAAATCCATGTACCGCGTACGAATAGAATTAAGGATGTGTTCCAGAGTTGCCGCAAAACGCGGTTCAATCATACCACTTCCGCTATATCGGTGTTAAGTAGAAAAGTGATTTATTACTTTACGGTAAGTTTTTGCTGTGACTGAATGACTTATCTTCTCAGTAGTTGCCTACAAATAGTGACAATCTTGCTAATGCTCTAATATATCATTGTTCGGCCAAAATCAGTTACACGTACTTGCTTCCCATGCAACTGCACGCTCTAAAGTGAAATAACGCACTGGTTTAAATAGTTTTTATAAGCGTTTTAATCCAATATTGCGGTAAAATTTGATTAGAGGATTTCCATCTGTCGTGAACTAGCGCGGTGTCGGTGTGAGATACGATTACTGTTTCTTTCTTTACGGAGTACTTTCACCGCGTGAATCTGATGACTGTGTTTTATATATGAATCCATACGCCATTGTTCCCTTTTTATTTATGTGCCGCTAATATTAGTATATTGACTTTAGTTTCTGCCAAAATTAGAAATTTCCAGTCGATTTTTAATCAGAAGAAAAGACGCGTTCTACAGCAAGTTTTTACAGGAAGAATTCTTCTATATTCATGTAAAAGGTTCGTTTTTGAATTTGATTATACTTGCAAATCATACTTCTGCCATATTCCGTAGCGGCAGTTTCGAAGAGACGTCGTGAAGTCCTATTAGTACAGAACAACTGAACAACTGTATCTCCAGAAATTCAGCATGGTAGAACCTAGTGTTGCTTGTGAGTCATTTGTTTTTTTATCTATTTATATAGTATGTTTGACTATTTCCTTTTCATTTAAATAATTTCTGACTTACACCGATAACGCGTGCCGCTGAGACTGGCAG